AACTGGGCACTTGTCCCCAAGGACAGCAGACACATGATCACGTGCGTCTCCCCTACACACACACACACACACACACATACACACACCCACGCACACACATGCACACACACAAGGGTGACGCCTATTCTCCCCTGACCACACTCAAATGGACACAGGAACTATGGGGAGCTGGAAAGAGCACTGAACTGCGATCCAGAAAGCCCAGAGTCTACTCCAAATCTGTCACTAGCTCACTCTGTGACTGCTCAATAGTAATTCAGACAAAATACATTGTGGGGTTGTGTGCCGAGTGTTATACTAAACTCCACACATGGATGGTCTCATTTAATTCTCACAACTTTATCCCTCTTTTCCAGACAAAAAAACTGAGGCTCAGAGAGGTTAAGTGACCAACTCAAAGTCACACAGCTGGTAAGTGGTAGAGCTGAGATTCAAACTGAGAAGCCTGGCTCCAGAGCCCAGGCTCCTTCCCACACTCTCTAGTTAGTTCCTCCTTCTAGAGCTCAGTTTCCCCATCTGTAAACAGCATTGGTACACTTGAACTCCAAAGACCCTTCCAGATCTGATAATCTGTGCTTTATTTCACATTCACTGTACTGCCAGGCCCTGGGCTGGAAATACAAAGATAAGGAATGCTTCACCTCTGTCCGCGGGTTATAAACTTCTTGCAAATAGAAATCCCATCTTAACTATCCTTGCTGGCCCTGCACCACTTCCCACAGCCTTGTGTAAAGAGGAGGCACTCAAATTATTTGTTGACTGGATGGCTGATTCATGGGGAGTCGGGTATAACTGAGGTCCTGCCCTGCCACTACCCTTGCAAGAGAACGTCACTTACCTCCTGCGTCTGCTCCTTCCTCTGCAGAGTGGAAACACACAATAGCACTTTCCTCACAGGGCTATGGAGCTGGCAATGCACGGTGAGCACTTGGCATAGTGCTCGGTGCAAAAAAACTGCTCAGTGGATACTGGTTGCTGTCCCTGATGGATCCTCCCCCCCCTCCTCCCCTGTCACTAGCTGGTGAGGGGCTTTGCTCTTTGTTGTCCCCAGGTAAAAGCTGTGAATCAATTTGTACTGCAGGAGGCAGGAGGCAAACTTGCTCAGCCAGATCCTGAGCAACTATGAAGGAAGAGAAGAGAAGCCTGGGCTTCCCATTGCCCCAGGAGCCCTCCCTCTGGACTCTGATTCCCATGCAGTCCCTGCTCCTCCCTGGTGCAGATGTCCCTTCTGTCTAGACAGCTCTCCCCTGAAGAAACTGCAAACCACAGACTGTCTGATGACAGGGCTTGCCCCAGACACTAGTCCCTAGACATGCGATTTATTCAACCCTCTTTGGAAAAGGACAAGCAAGCCCTGCTCTGGCCTCTGAAGCAGAGGGGACTGTGGGAATAGGAGTGGCTGGGTGGCTTCCTTCATTAATTTGTCCATCCATCCATCTGTCTTTGGTCCAATGCTTACAGCATGCCAGATCCAGTGGTAGGCATTGGGCATGTCTTGGTGAATAAGATACAACCCCTAGCCTCCAGAAACTCATTATATTGGGATAGATGGACGTGAGATGATTGTGGAGGGTGTGCATCCCAAATACAGTTCTAGCGAGCCTGCTCTGTGCTGGGGACTGTGCCTCATCTTAACCCCATGAGGTAGGCATTGCCAGTTGTGGTCATTTTACAGATGAGCAAACCAAGGCTCATAGAATTTAGATAACTTGCGCAGGGTTGCTCAGCTACTGAGCGGTGAGGTCAGGATTCAGACCTGAGCTTATGCTCTTAACCCCAGCTCTGCCTTTGGCGCTGCTCAGAGGAAACCACATATCCACTCTGGAGGAATGGGAAGGACCCCACAGAGAGGGGGATTTTCTGAGCTGGGCCTTAGGGGAGGTGTGAAAGTTTCTGGAAGAGGGGATTCTGACCAATGGAAATGCAGGTCAGAACTTTCCATATGCAAGGAAAAGCATGAGCCAGGTTGGGAACAGATCGAGAAATGCCAGGGTAAGGGAGAGTTGGAACCTTTTCCGGAGATGTCTGTCTGGTCAGGTGAACTGAGCCACTAATGTAGGAAGACTGCTATGGGAAGCATGGAGCACGCTGTAGGAAGCAAGGAGGATGGTTTGAGGAGGAGCAGGAAGCTGATCAGAGAATTGCCCCAAGGCTTTTTTTTTTTTCTAGAGATAGTAGGTGAGAAAAAGGTTTAATGAGCCCACCCAGGCCCCTCAGTGGGAAACCTCCTTCTTCTAGCCCTTCTTTTCCTTCTCCTCCTTCCTCTTCTTCACCTTGGGCTCCTTGGCCTTGCCCGGGGTGCTGTCGCGCTGCCTGGAGCCGGCAGCATGGGGATCTGTGTCCAGGCCGCTGGAGCTGCTGCTGCTGGAGTCTGCGAAGCTGCCATGGCCTTGGATTCTGAACTTTGTGAGGACTGTGCTTGAGGTCTCCACGTGGCCTGCCCCACTGGGCTTCTTGGAAGTGGATCCCAGGGCTGCTGCCAGGTCGAGGTCTGCGGTGGAATATGTGTTTGGAGGGCCAGGAGGGCCTGGGCTACACTTGCCCCGAGGCTTTTTAAAAAAAATCATGGTGGCAGTGATGGGGACTGTGATGGGCCAGCTGTGATGCTCACACAGGTAGCAGAGTTCAGGGCATCAGGGTTGCCAGTCTGCCCTGCCCAGGCATGCCACGCCCCTGCTCAGAGCCCTTCCCTGGCCCCTGTGGCTCTGAGGATAAAGCCCAGCTCCTTTGTCTGGCATTCAAGGCTCCTCATGAGCTGGCTCCTTCCTGCCGCTGCAGCCCCATCTCTGCCACTCCCCACAGCTGCAGCCACATCTACAGACTTGCAGTGTCCCTGACAGAATTCTCTCCAGCCTGTGCGCCTGGGCACAAGCTAGTCTTCTCCTACAGAACTTCTCTTCCCTTGCCCTTTCTTTGCTGAGATGCCTCCTACTCACGCTTCAAGACTCAGCTCGGGGTCGCCCTTCCCACATGCCTTCCCCGGCCTGCTGAGGGTAAGGGCTGAGAAGCGGAAGTGCACCCGGGCCAGCAGACCCAGCCTTTTCCTTCCACCAACTTCCAATGGCATTTGCCATCTCGATGCGTTGGTTGTGAAATGTTATAAGCAGACGTTTTCTTAGACGGTGCTGAGCTGCTGCGGGAGGTTTGCCCCTCTCCTGGCCCTCTGTTCATCATCCCGGACCACGGCAGCTTCTGGGCTGCCAGGGTCTTTTCGCTGAAGACACCCAGGATGTATCTATATTTACTCTGCGAATATGCACTTTTCAGCTGTAGGATCTTAGGCTAGGACCCTGGCAGCAGCTGCAAATGCTTATGCTGTGTAGACAGGACCTTTTCTTCCGCTGTGACCGTTCAACTCTGGGCATCAGCAGTAATGCCTATTTTGGGACATGCCCACATTTGGCGTTGCTCAATCTTCCTATTTCCTATCTGAGAAAAGAGCCCAGGGCCTGGGTTGAGTGGAGAGGGCTGAGGTGTGGTTGCTGATAACGCCTATTTGCCAGTGATTTATTTGCCTGGGATTTGTACTAAGACAAAAAGAACTTTTGCATTATTAATGATCATTGATCACAGCCTTCCAAAAAAGAGAGAGATGGAGCGAGATAAAGGCTTCAGGCCAATCATCAATGATAAACTGGGAGGGTGAGGTGTGGGCAAAGGAGGGGAGGCCAGGTTGGCAGAGAACTTTGGAGTGACAGAAGGACACAGAAGGACACTACAGAGAAAGTCTGGATTAGCTGCTGAGTTTCTGGTGAGCCAGATGTTAACAGCTGTGCGGGCTGTAAGTAAATCAGTGCCAGTGGGTGCTGCTGGGCCCTTCCTACACCCAGCAAAGGAGACTTCAAGACAAAAGAATGTTACCAGGGACAGAGGGCCACTTCATAATGATAAAAGGGTCAATTCATCAAGAAGATATAACAATCCTCATGGTGGATGCACCTGATAACGAGGCTTCAAATACGTGAAGAAGAAATAGACAAAAACGCAGTAGGATCTAGAAGGCCGGTTCCATCTGAGCCAGGCGACCAGGACACAAGACGTGTCTACTGCTTGTGCCTCTTCAGTGAATGTTTCTTGCTGCTCCTAACTCTGTGCTCAAGTCTTCTCTCTCCCTGTTCTCTGGAACCAGGACGATTCATCTAAGCACCCCAAAACCTGCTGGCACCTGGGGGGACTGGCATTCAGAATCTGCCGTTTGAATGAGGGGGGAGCGCCGGCTTCCCCAGCCTTGCTGACCTCCGCTCCTGCTCTGCAGCCCGGGCCTTGGCCAGGGCGCCCTCCCTCGCCTCCTGCCTCTGCCCAGATCCTTCCTGGGCCTCCCCGCACCACCTAGTCAGCCCGCACCCCCAAGTTCTACCTTCTTTTCTGCTGCATTTCCCTCCCTACCATTTCCCTCCATAAATATTTTATACCTTTTACTTATTAACGGTATTGTGCCTCCCCGCAATAGAATGTAAGCTCCGCTGGGTCTACATCTGTTTTGTTCACTATTTCCCCAGTGCCTAGAACATCCCTGACACGTAGATCAATAAATATTTAACCGAAGAAAAATACCCAGCTAGGGAGGAACGCAGGAGGCAGGGACGATGGCGGGAGGCTGGACGTTCAGCAAGGGTCTCGGGCACGGCCCGCTCCCTGCACGTCCCCACCCCAGCCCCAGCCCACCCGACCCGCTCTCCTACAGGTGGGCACCGGGGAGCGCTGGCCCGGGGTCTTCACCTGCGTCCTCAGCGCCCGCCCACCCCGGGCCCGGGTGGCGGGAGGGCAGGGGCCGAGCCTCCCTCCTGGCGGGCGGGGGGCCGAGTTGGGAGGGAGCCGGCGGGGGAGGAGCCGCAGGAGCGGAGCGCGGAGAAGCGGCGGGCGCGGGCAGGGGAGCGCGGAGAAGGCGCCGCAAGGCGCCGAGGGGGCGGAGGGAGGTGCGGGATCGCGAGGGCGCGGGCCGGGGGAGGGCCCGGGGCGGCGCCCGGAGCTCGGCGGGGGGTCGCGGCGGAGACCAGGCGGCCGCGGGCGTGGGCACGCGAGGCTGCAGGATCCGGGAGGGCAAGCGGGCGCCGCACCTGCGTGGCCGGGAGCAGGTAAGCGCGCTGGAGCTGGGGGCCGCCCCAGGGAGGGGGCGCGTCCGGGGCGAGCTGGGGCACGAGGGGCGCCCCGCCCCGGGGTATCGGGGACTGACCCGGGGCGTCCCGCCTCTCCGCGCCTTCGGACGGGAAGGGGGTCCCGGAGGAGCAGTCCGGCCCGGGGGAGCGTGCCGGGGTCGCCGTCCCGAGCCCTGGGACGGAGGGTGGGACGAGGCAGCGCCCGGGGGCGGCTGCGGGATCCCGGGCGTGCGTTCGGGTGCCCAGCGCCGGAGCGAGGTCAGGCGGGACGGGAGGCGCGCCCGCGGGTCGGGGGCCGCGAGCCCCCCATGTGGCCCCAGGCGGCCGAGGGAAGCGGGGCGCTGCCCCCTGCCGGCCAGGTCGGGGCGCGGCGCCGCGGCAGGGCCGCCCCTTGCTGGAGGGGAGTTGAAGAAGCGTCCCCGGGGAGCCCGGGCTTGAGGCTGGCACTGACTTGCTTTGTGACCTTGGGCAGGTCACTGCATCTCTCTGAGCCTCAGTTTACAAGTCTATCAAATAGGGGGGAATTCCCCTTTCGCCCTGGGGGTCCGTGGGAATGAATGAAATGCCGGATGCATGCCTTTTTATAAACTAAAATTCTGCACAAATCCTAGCTAAGAAATCTGCTCTATTGCAGATGGGGAGAGTGGGGAATAAATTTTGCCCAAGGTCACACAACTTGTAGGAGAATATCAAATTAAAGTTCCCTAGGTCTGGGGAAGTTCAAGGATTGAGTGCAGGCAATCTCGGTCAGGCTGGCTGCATTAGCAAACTGGCATTGGCCACATACTAGCTGTGTGACCTCAGGAAAGCCCTTAACTTCTCTGAGCCTTGGTTTCTACTCATATGAAATGGGGATAACAATGCCCACCCCACAGGCTTACTGTGCAAATCAAATGGGATCCTTGCCCAGCACTGCACCTGGCCCCAAACAAGAACTCAGTCATGAGTGGCCGTCATTGTTCTTTGTAGTAGCAGCAGCAACGTCTCCATCGCTTGCTTGGAATCTGTCTCCAGTGTTTTCGAGTTGAGCACGTTGTGGATCTGTGCTGTCCTCTGGACCACACAGCCACTGGCTGGGGTCTCGGCCCTCCTCACAAGGACATTAAAGGACCCTTTACTAACAGCAAGCAAGGCCACTTGGGTAGCTGGGCCTTCTTCAGCCTTTGATCCTGCCCAGCTGGTGGGGAGGAGTGCGTGGGCTTTGTTACAGAGGTATGGAGGAAGCCAGGACCTGGATGGTGGCTGAGGAGGGAGGGGCCAGGCCAGCCAGATAAGCCTGCCACAGGACCAGAAGTACAGAGGCGCGTCCTCAGAATTTGTCAGTTACCTGGTGGATAAAAAATGGATCAACTGGGTCATCCCTTCTCTCCTAGGACGTGGGTGGTGACTGTTCTTTTTGGCAAGAGTGATGTGAATATGAGCAGAAATACACATTCTCGGAGCTTGGAGGTCCCAGACCTGAGAGTCGCTTTCATTGCACAGATGGCTCCCATCTGAGGCCCTCCGAGGTCAGCAGTGTCTTCCAGGAAGCTGAAATCAGCAGGCGCCATTTAGTCTTTGACTTCCTCGCTCAGCAGCAGTGGACATCGACCGCTCCCCTCCCACCCCAAACGTTCTCTTCTCGTGGCACCTGCAACTTTACACTATTACATTTATCCTCTGTCTTCTCTGTTGTTTTCGCAGGTTCCTCCTTCTTTTTACAGCCACAGATGCTCTGTACTCTCAGGTCCTCTTCTCTCTAGTAGACACTCTCCCTGGGTGATCTCATCCACCCCATTTGCTTTAGTTGTCACCTCTGTGCACATGATGCATAAATTTATGTCCCCAACCCAGATCACTCCTCAGGCTGCCAACACATCTATTCATTATCAGCCAGGCACTGTTCTAGGCCCTGGGGATACAGCCGTGAACTAGCAGGGGTTGGGGTTAAGGGAGGTGTGTGTGTGTGTGTGTGTGTGTGTGTGTGTGTGTGTAGAGAGAGAGAGAGACACACACAAGCAATAAACAAGCAGAAGGTATCAGGTGGAGTAAGTGCTAAAATGAGTATGAACCAGGGTGATATGGTGCAGGGCGAGAGAGCTCCTTTATGTCGTCTGGTCAAACCTCTGCCAAAGGGGTGATTTTTAAGGGTGGCTACTGGTAGGAGATGAGGTCAAAAGAGGTGACAGGCGGAGATAGATCATGCAGGGCCTTGTAGGTCATGGTGAAGGTTTGGCATTTTACTCTGAGTGAGGTGGGAGCCATTGGAGGATTTTCAGTAATGCGGAGGGGCCGGGCGTAGTGGCTCACGCCTGCAGTCCTAGCACTCTGGGAGGCCAAGGCAGGAGAATAGCTTGAACTCAGGAATTCAAGACCAGCTTGAGCAAGAGTGAGACCCCGTCTCTACCAAAAATAGAAAACTTAGTCAGGCGTGGTGGCATACACCTGTGGTCCCAGCTACTTGGGAGGCTGAGGCTTCTTGGAGGATGTGGCTTTCAAAAAGGACTAAGAAAGCAGAGAGAGGATTATTAAGTTGACATGGATGAAAGGGAATGGGAAAGATTGCTTTTCCAGGCAGAGGGAACAGCCTAAACGAAGACATAAATGCCCCAAATATGTGTAGAGAAGGCAGGGGGCAGGAGACAGACTCCACAGGGGAGTGAGAGGTCTGGGCTGTCAAGAGCAAGGCCCTGGACCTGGCCACTTGCTTGTTGTGAGCCCTGACTTCCTCGTTCTTTTTATTAAATAACTATTAAGTACTGGGGAAGAGAGGGAAGGAGACTTCCAAACTTGCAGGCTGGGTAGAACAGGACAGTGGCAGCCATGGGGGAGGCAGTCAGGAGGGGCTGGTGTGGGTGAGGAAGATGACGGCTCCATTGAGTTTGGGGCCCCTGTGGGTCATCTACAAGGGATGACCAAAGGACATTCAGGGCCAGAGGCACAGAGAGAGTAAAACTGTCAGTATTCGTCTTTCATTCGTCCTTTGATCTTCATTGAACATCTGTCCGTATTAAGCCCAAAACATATAGCTATGAACAGAACTGGGTCCCTGCTCCAGGAATGTGCCGTCTTGAGGGCTGGCAGGCCTGCCAGCGTTGGACTGCAGGACGATGTGGGGTGTGTGTGCTGAATCATAAACATGAGGCACTGCGCTGGCACGGAGGAGAGAGGCTGGCCCCGCTTGGGTGGAAGGAGTCAGACAAGTTTCAGTGAAGAGGTGACAATTAAACTTGGTCTTGAGAGTGAAGTTGGAGTTGGAAAGGGGGAAGGGCACCCCCACGGAGGGCCCCAGGCTCACAGCACGTGTTTCAGCAGGGAGACAGGGCTGGCAGGCGAGCCCCCTGGGGCAGTCCAGTGCGATGTGTATATAAGAAGGTCGATGTGTATATAAGAAGGTCGGAGAGGCGGGAGGAGGCAGCGGTCAGGTCCATCCCGGGGGAGGGCAGCCTGCGGAGAGGGCTCGGAGATGGTGAAAGGCTTTGCAGGTGGGAGGAGTAGCCGCGCAAAGACTCAGATGTGAGAGAACCCGCTGTGTTTTGCAGGCGGAGCTCTCAGCTGGGAGGCGGGCTGGAGGTGGTGTCTGCTGAGTCCGGGTGAATAGGGGGATGAGAGGACAGGGCTGCGCTGTGTCATCTCCGGACAGGGAAGCAATAGGAAGTGAAGGAAAAGGATTTTGGGTGTAATGCAAGGAAGGGTTCCCCAAGCTTCAGCCCCATGGAATAGATGTCATCGGCCCCAACTCATCTTCACTTGCTGGTTCTGTTTGTCCTCCAGTGCTCGGCTTCAAAGCCACTGTCAGAGTGGGATCTCGGGCTTGCAGTAGGCCGGCTATCTGTCCCCTCTACTTTCCCATGGCTCCCTGCACCCTGTGCTGTCCTCCTTATCACGTCTGTGGTCCAGGGTTCCAGGAGTGTTTTCCCCAGGGCCATTGTAAGTCCTCCTAAGAGCAGAGTCCACACCTGCATTGTTCATGCCACCATGGGTAGGCTTGGAGTAAATAGTTATTGTTTGGATGAGGATACAGGCTCAGAGAGGTTGAGTAACTTGCCCAAGGTCACAGAGCTAGTAAAAGGCTGAGCTGGGAAGCAAGTTCAGTCTACCTGACTCCATAGCGCTACCTGACTCCAAAGCTTGTGCTCTTAATCACGGCTGTATTGCGCCTCCCAGCAGAGAAAGCAGATGGTGAATTGGGGGTTTGGATCCTGTAAACACTAACAAATTCAGTGTTTGATTTCTAGGAAATGCATTCCTGTTGTTAGTACCTTGTTTATCCAGTCTGGGGAAAACAGCCTCTTCTCTCTCCTGAAAATGATTCGCTGTATCAGCTCAGAGTGCTCCCTGGGGACCCAAGGTGTAGCATGCCGGCCTCGAGCACGGGGGTGCGGGGCAGGTTGCGGCTCTAAAGGCTTCCTGCAGAGTATGGTCAGCCCGCCAGTCTGCTCCCAGGATTACTCCCTGGTGTGAACACTCAGACAGGAGGTGGGGGAGACTGGAAAATGTCGAAAGCACATGGCGTGGAGCAGGCCTGAGAGTCTCCGGATACTTCTGTCCTTAATCTCAAATTCCTGCGGCAAGCAGGAGGCCATGGAAGCTGCGCGCTGGTCTCTGCCTGCAGCCCACTGTGTGAACTTGAGCAAGTATCTTACCCTCTCTGTGTCCATCTCCCTGTTAGCAGCATGAGGGAGTTGGACTAGGTGATTCCTAGTTCTTCCCACTCTGACACTCTGAGATCCTTCTTAAATCCCAGGGCTGAGGTCACTGTTATCCCTGGCTCTGCTCTGTGTGGTCCCTCAAGCTGCAGCACCTGGGAGCTCGTCAGAAGTGCAGAATGTCAGGTCCCGCTCCAGACCCACAGAATCAGCACCTGCATTTCGCATGCGATCCCTGGTAGTGCGTGTGCACGTCACGTGTGACAGGGGCCGCAGTCTCCACTGCCTGCCCTTTCCGCTGGGCTCTGCCGAGCTCCATCACTAAGCCTGGCAGAAGGGGGCCCCATTCAG